CACAGCGATCCCTGCCTCAGCCTCCTGAGTGCTCGTGAGTGTGCACCACCACGCCCAGCCAGCCAGGGCTTTTTTAATCCCACTGTAATCCTTTGTGTTCTGTCAGTTTATCAGACAGAAATAAGTTAACTCCCATAATGGGCATCTGGATCAAAATAGCAACTCAGGACCGAGACTCAGGCCAGGGACTATACAGGCAGGCTAAGGACCAAGCCCAGGCAGAAATGGAGGAAGCCAGGGGGTGACCAACAGGCTGACAGATGAGCCACAGAAGCAGATTTGCTCAGGTCCAAGGAGTCACTGGTCAGGGCTAAGATGAGGTAGGAAGCAAAACAGCAAAGAAAAGTGAAAAGTTTTTGACAATATTTTATAATAATTCTATAAGATATTGAAGTGTTACCCTGGTTTCAAGAAGTTATCCTACAGAATATGCTCTCTGACTAAAAATAAATAAAATCATAAATCAATAAGTATATATTTAAAAATCCCCACATATTTGGAAATCAAATAACACATTTCTAAATAGCTCATGCATCCACAAATAAAATACAAAGGAAATGAGAAAATATTTGAATGGAATAATAATAAACATATAATATACCTCAATTTGTGAGATGCCACTAAAATAGTCTTTAAAATAAGATTACAGTTTTCAGCGATTATTTTAGGACTGTACGTAACTCAGTGGTAGAGCACTTGCATAGCATTGTGAGGTCTTTGGTATGATCTCAACACTGGGAAAAAAAACCTTAATTTTTGGAGAAAAAAAGTTAATATATTAACCATTATTAACCAGTATGAAACTGCAGATTAGAAACACAATAAAACACTATCATACAACTATTAGAAGAACTAAAATTTAAAACACAAAACCACCGTGATAATGCCCAATACTGAGAAGTAACTGGATCTTATACATTCCTGATAGGAATTCAAGGTGGTACACTTACTTAAAAAAAAAAAAAACTTAGCAATTTATTTTACAGTAAATAACTATACCATATGACCCAGAAAATATTCTTGCATAGCTGAGAGACATGAACATTTGTTCACACAAAAATCTGAAAGGAATGGTTTAATTTGTGATTACTCAAACCTTGAAACAACCCAGATATCCCATAAATTATGACTGGATAAGGAAGCTGCGGTCCATCCATACAATGAAATATTAATCTTCAATAAACGGAACGAGCTACTGATATACACAAAACCATAGATAAATCACAAACACAGTGTGCTAACTGGAAAAAAAAACCCAGACACAGAAGGCTACGTATGACATTCTGGAAAAACACCACTGTGGAGACAGGAAACAGGTCAATAGTTAGGAGAGGCTGGAGGTGAAGGAAAAGATTGACTACAAGGCAGAGGAGACTTCAGGAGCATGGACTGCACTATGCCTGGGTTTGGGGGGTGATTACATGATTGTACGTGTTTGTCAAAACTCACAGTGATCCATACTGAAACATATGAAACTTTACCACAAAGTATATAAGCCAGATCTCAATTTACAGAAGAAAAAACCCACAATGAGATATCGGTACCTATCTACTAGAATGTCTAAAACTCAGAAGGTTGACAGAATCAAGTGTTGCCAAGGAGATGCATGAACTGAATTCTCGTGTATTGCTAGTGGAAACACAAAATGGCACAACCACTTTGGTAGTTTGTGGCTTCTTATAAATCTCCCCCTACCACATAAGCCAGACATTCTACTCTTTGAAGAAGAATGCACAAGAACCATTATTACAACGTTGGGAATGGAAGGAAAATAAATGTTATGTGTAATGACAAAGAAAGTCTAATAGATCAGTGAAACTAAGAGTAGTAAAATAAACACAAACATACACATTCATTGTCACAAAGTGCCAGTGCCATTCACAGAGTAAAGTCTTTTCCACAAACTGGGTGTTGGTATAAAAAGGAACCTCAACCCCTACTTCATTCTATACACAAATATTAATTTGAGATGAATCATAAAACTAGAGGTAAAAACTAATAACACTATAAAGCTTCTAACAGCAACATATGAGAATATCTTTGCAATCTTCATAGTACATGAATTTTTAAGACAAAACATCACTGATGATAGAAGAAAAGATAATGTGGTGGGCCAAGGGGTGGGAGGCCTGGGCAGCTGAGCGGGGGACTGGTTCATTCCCATAAACCAGCCCTTGAGAAAGCTGAGACAGGAGGATCACAGGTTGGATGTGAATTTCATCAAACTTATATATAACTTTAATATAAAAATTGTTCTTGATCTTTTCTATTTTAGCTTTAATATAAATCTTAATATTGTTAAGAGTTGGTTGGTTGGTTAATTCCTAGAGGAAAAAGTTCAGAGGTAGGGGGACTAGAAAAAGGGGGAAAAGGATTCAAACAGTGTCAGAGTTCAAGGAAGTTATCCCCTGGTAGAAGCTTAAAGCTTTAAAATACATGGCTTTGTCAAAATAACACTGTTATAAGTAAAATTCTGTGTTGGAGAAAGAACTGGAAATACATCCCAGTAATAAAAAAGAACAGAAGAGAAAAAAGAGAAACTTGTGAGCCCTTCTGGGCAGATCTAGGTCCAAGAGACAAATGGAGGCTTGAGGACAGTGACTAGGGGCCCACAGGCGACGCAGTGTAGCAGCAGCCCTGGGAGATGGCAGCAGGGTCCATCCAGAGGGCCTTCTTGTAGAGGAAGGGGTGGCTCAGATTCCATCTGTAGATTTGACTCAAACTGACAAGTAATTTCCAAATTTCAAGTCAGAAGACTGGAAAGCTGGTGTTGAAACTATGACCCCAGAAACAGGTGCTTGATGTCAGGCCAGAGTAGAGTGAGCAGCCCATTCACGGTGAACAATGGTTGTCAGGCGGGGTCTCCCTGGAAGGCTGAGTCAGAGGGGCCCGTCTGGGAGCCCAGCCTTCTGCACTAAAGCTTTTTCTCTTCCTTTCAGAGAAATTCTTGCTCTCTGATAAACCCTGAAGCCCCAGTATCTGTTAGGCAGGAAGATTTTCTATGAATATAGCACTGCAGACATGGTGAAGACAGGAACATGAGAAATTTCTGGTCATTTTCAGGTTTCCATCGTCCTACCGGCTTAGCATGGGGGAGTCTTCACAATAAGCTTTTCCCTTGGCCCTTCTGATTCGATTCACAACCTCATGCATCTGTCTAACATAATCCTGGAAAGAAAGGAACACACACAAAAGTAAGTGTGGAGTTAAAGTCAAGATTAAATTTATTGATCAACAAAACCCATGGGGAAACTTTGTCTTGAGTCTGAAATTTGCCGGGAAATACAATCAGTATCTAGCCCTCAAATTCCACTTTCTGGCAACAGACCTTCTCTGATCAGGTCTCTAAGAGCAGATAAATGAAAGAAGCTCCTTCAATTTTCACCCAAGGAGGAAAGGGGAAAAGCAACAGCTGAACAGAATCAAATTCCTTGACCTTTGTCCTTTAGATGGCTATAAGTAGGAAAAAGAGAAGATTTGAGAGGGAAAAGTTTAAGGCAGTAGTTAGGTAGTGGTATCCAGGAGACAGATAGAGGACAGGAAGTGCAGATTCCTAAGGAGTAAGATGCCCCTGTGCTCTCTGAGTAAAACCCAGAGCTACATTTCTTTGCAGGACTGACCCTCTGCAGCACCATGCACTGTCACCTATGGAGATACATGTTTGCTGCATCCTTGGTCACCATGGGATTCTCCCTTCAAGAAAATACAGAACCGTTTGCTGACTACAGTGTATTATTGGTAAGTACTAGACCTGGAGGCTGGAACCAATGTGAAACCTGGCGGTAGAAGAGAAATTTACCCAATATAATAAACACCCCAGTCCCATCACAGGAGCTCTGCGAGAGCCCTTGGAGAATCCAGAGAATGTCAGAAAAGAGATAAACTTTGAACCAGTTTTGATATTTGAAGAAGATGTGACTAGGGCCGGGAAGAGGAGGGGCATGCTAAGTGGGGAGAGTGACACGTGGCCACCTCTGGCGGGCCTAACAAGTTGAGGACAGCCTGGCGGCTGCCACTTCCCTCACCAGAGTCTGCCATGGTGATGCTGTTCTTCTCACAGGAAGGAATTTGAAATAACTTTCCCAGTGTAGACATCTGCATGTGAGAAAAACAAGCAGCACACAGGATGAGCTGACGCTTTGGAGTCTACCTGTTTCCTAAGACACCACAGAACAGGCAGAACAAAGCCCAGGGTGGGGTGGGAGGTCATGCAGGCCTGGTAGAGCACTGCTAGGACTCAGATGGAGGCAATGGATAGATTTGGACTCCGGCTTCAGCATCTCCCGGAACCCAATGCAGGCCTAAGCAAAGTTACCGCATGTTTGCCAGCCTGATAATGGTGGAGAAACGGGGCACAGGGTGCAGCAGGACACGGCAGGCAAATCCTTACTTAGACTGAGCCTAGCACCTTTCAAAAGACATTGCAATGGCCCTAGGGAGCCACTGCCTGCTCAGGACCACGGCTTCGGTTGCAAAGCCCTGGGGATCTGGACGAGGCGGGGAGAGCAGTGAGCTGAGCTTCACATGTGGCTCCCTGGTCCCTGGATCTGGGGCTTTCCCCACCTGTCCTAAAGGGGGATCTGCCCCTCACTTTTCTCAAGGGACCCCAAGGATCAACTTCAGGGCTGACACGTGTCCATCTTGTCCTCCAAAGGAAAAAGACGCAACTCTGCAGACAGTCCAAGATCAAACCAGCTCTGAAATCGAGAACCATGTGGAAACCTTCAAGGAGATGCAGAAAATGTCCCCTCTGCTGCGACACGCCAACTACACCCTCCTGGCTGGAGCCCCACCTAGGGAGCAGAGTGAGTGTGCCGGAGTGCAGCCGGCCCAGGGGAAGGTCAGGCAGGGCGTTTTAGCCAGGCAAAGGGAGGAAGTGTCAAAATCCTGGGCCGAGCTGGCGGCTGGTGAGGACAGGGGAGCAAACGAGCCAGGGCTGGTTGGGGACAGGTTCCGGGGGCAGGGCTGAGTACGTTGTCCTTCCACCTGCCCATGACTGCAGCCCAATAGGGGGAAGGTCACAGGGACCTGTGGAGAAGGTCTCCTGTGCAGAAGCTCATTCATGGTGGGCCAAGGGGTGGGAGGCCTGTGCAGCTGAGTGGGGGAACTGGTTCGTTCCCTTAAACCAGCACTTGAGAAGGCTGAGACAGGAGGATCACAGGTTGAAGCCCACGCTGAGCAACTTAGTGAGACCCTGTCTCGTTAAAAATAAAAGTGGCTGGGAATGTAGCTCAGTGGCAGACTGCCCTGGGTTTGATTTCCAGGAAAAAAAGAAAGTGGGCAGAGGGAGGAGAGCGCAGTGTAACCCGTGTCAGTGCCCTGGACTGCCAGATCCTAGGGCTTAGACAGCTCCATGCAAACCCTCTAATCCTGTTGAGGGTGGTCCCTGGGGCTGAGGTAACTCTGATTGTCCATCCAGCCGGCTGACGTTTGGCTAAGCCAGCTGATCTGCCTTGCTACATGGTAGCCTTCCTTGCCCGGCAGGCCAGCCTGATCCCTGTAGAGCTTCCCCAACAGCCTTTCGCCCTGTTCTGATCACACTGGAACCTCTCACTTGCGCCCTACACTCCCAGGGAAAAGACGTGCGCATTTGTCACAAGAGCAGCAGGAAGGGGAGGCCTGGGAGGAGAGTCCTAGGACCTGTCCACCATCCTGAGGCGCTAAGGTCCTTGTCTCCCCCAGAGCTACTGACTGTGGGGATCTCCTCAGTGCAGCGTCCCCATGGAACCTATCTCCTGGCGACCCTCCAGTCCCTGTTCCAAGCTTCCTCCACGTATGATCTGGAGTACATCGTGGTGCTGGTCCACCTGTCAGACCCTGACCCTGCGTGGCTCAGACAGTCGCCAATATCTCAGAGCTCTTCACACCTCACATCAAGGCCCGGAGGCTGCTCGTGATCCATGGTCTTCTTGGTGGCTCCCCTCCAAGGAACGTGAACCACTCCTGGCCCTGCCAATCGCTTTATTCCAGGCAGAAGGTAGATTACGCCCTCCTCATGCACTTTGCCAGCAACCTCTCCGAGTACTTCCCTGTTGATAGAGGATAACGTCCGGTGCGCCCCCAGATTCGTGTCTGCCATCTACTGGGCAGTATTAGCCTGGAAAGAACTCCCTTGGATGATGCTAGAGTTCTCCAGCCTGAGATTCTCCGGGAAGGTTTTCCACACAAGTGACCTCAGCCGCTTGACTTCCTTCTTCCTCCTCTTCCCCAAGTCCATCCCCACCCACCTGCTTCTCTCTGAACTCCCTCTTTTCTCTGCTCAAAATGTCCCGATTCATTTTGGGACCTCCGTGTTCTTCCACCTGAGCAATTATTCTGAGTCTGAGGCTGCCTGCTTTCCTGCAGAGGAGGTTGAGGACTTTGGTGAACCAGACAACCCTGCCGCTGTCGTCTTCACGAACATGATGTCCAAGATGGACCACCCTCAATATGCCTATGTCCTGAATGAGGACAGCTTCTCCACCCTGGATCCTCTCGAAGGTCACTACCTGACAGTGGTTCTAGATAGACCGCAAAAAGTCACCCGCGTTGCAGTGCACACAGGCTCTAAAATCAAAGGGCGGTACCGACTGGAACAGGGGCAAGTACTGCTGGGCTGTGACTCCCTTCGGAATCGCAAAGACGGTGCTTACTACACCCTTCTGGGGCCGCTGGTGGCAGGGAACTTGGACCAGAGGGTGTTTTGTGAAGAAGAGTCTGTGCGGGAACTGAGCTGTATGGAAGTGCTGGTGTCAGCATCTCAAGACTCTTGGCTCCTGATCAGGGAGATCAAAGTCTGGGCAGAGCCTGAGAAAGAGGAGAGTGAGTGGGTGCAGTGATTCTGGTAGGACTGGGTTTGGAAATGGTTTAACGGTGGACGAATAAATCCAAAGACTGGTGAAGTGAACTCCTACCGAGTTGGTGTTGACGCAATCACTTCTGCAAACTTAGACTCTTCGGAGAATGAAAGGCAGCGTTTTAACACCAGAAGCACAAGTACGCTAGAAGCCCCGTTCACACCTGTAGCCCCAGAAATCTAGAGGCTGAGACAGGAGGATCGAGAGTTCAAAGCCAGCGGGTCTCCGTAGTGAGGTCGAGGCCGGCCTGCACTGTACAGGGAAACCTCGTCTCCAAAATATAAACAAGCATGCCTGTAGTCCTAGCACTCGGGGAGGCTGAGACAGGAAGATCACAAATTCAAGCCTTGCCTGGACAATTAGCATTTTAGTAAAATCCTGTCTCAAAAGATAGAAAATTTTTAACAAGACTGGGGAGTATAGCTCACTGTGAAGGCCTGGGGTTCAAGTCCCCAAAAAAGGACAAGAAAATAACACTACACTAGAAGCCTGGTGTGGTGTCATATGCCTGTAATCCCAGCTACTTGGGAAACCGAGGCATGATGATCACAAGTTCAAGGCCAGCCAGGGAAACTTAGCAAGGCCCTGTAAAAAATATAATAATGATAATAAAACAAAAACCTGCACAAAAGATGTAAATGAGGAATATCCTGGGCAAGGTAAGATGTATGACACCTTAGTTACTTCTCTTATCACTTAAACACAGTACCCAACACCACAACTCTAAGGAGGAAAGGTTTATTTTGGCTTAAAGTTTGTAAAGGTTTCAGTCCAGAGTCGGCTGGCTGCAAAGGCAGGGTGGATGGCGAAGGGGGATTGTAGAGGAGAAACAGTTCATGGCATCAATGCGGGCAGCAGAGATCAGAGGAGGGAGATAGACCTTCCAGGCCACACCTCCTGTGACTCACCAGGCTTCGCCGCCCAACACCACACTCAGCTGTAATTTCATCAGTGGAGTTAGGATCACACAGTTTTTCATTTCTTTTTTTATCTATTCAGCAAATATTTGGTTGCACCCTTAATGTTGGGTGCTGTTAAAGACAATAAGATTAAGTTGAACCAAACATGGATGACACCGGCAAAAAACTTAACAGTAAAAATCAGTAACTGAAATGTGACATAAATGTTAAGTCTAAACTGATGACTTTACTTATCCATTGACGACTGTCACGTTTCTATAATCCAGTCACCTCCCAAAATCCCCACCTCTGAGCTCATGCGTCTGTGGAGGAACATCTACATATAAACCATGACATATCGTCACCCTAATTCTGAGTTTTCTAGACTCCATAAGAAAAGTGACAGCACCAAAAGAGGGGCAGAGTCAAGCCAGAATCTGTCTGACTTCTAAGCATTAGAGAGTAGTTACCATGAGTGGCCTTGGATTTTGTCTAAGCACAGGTCCTACATCCTAGGGCGGAGTTATTGCTCCCCCTAGAGTTGGCCAGCTTTACCAGCACCATGGTGGTGGAAGGAGAACCGAGTACACTCACACTTCCAGAGTGCCAAAGTTGAGACATTGCTGCTGAAGCAGAGTTAGCTGAGTTGGGTGGCATTCAAGAATGACTGTTTTAAGTATCAACGAATATTCTATAATGCAAAATTTCGCACCGGCTTATATGTGCCTTTTTCCCGAGGAGAGGATATTCTTTCATGAGAGCACTGAAACACTCCAACAGTGGTTTCTGTTTCTGGTAGCTTATTTGACTATGAACCTTGTAAAAACTAAGGGGATAAAGGAGTGGCTAAGTGGTAGGGTGCTTGCCCAGCATGTGTGAGGCCCTGTTTTTGATCCTAATTACCACAAAATAAATAAATAAATAAAAATGAAACAAATCCCCAGTACTAGAAAGAAAAAAAAAAACTGTAGTATCAAAGGACTACACACTTGCCACAGAGCACTGGAAATAAACACATGCCATGAAATAGAACAGAAATAAAATTTACCTATTTTAATCTTTGTACTAGTAAAGGGGGAGGGATCTTCCCTGTGATCCCTAAACACACCCTGTTCATTTGTAACCACCCAGATTACTTCTCAAACTCTTTAATGAAATTGAAAGGGAAGCAAAGCTCCCAAATTCATTCCTGGAAGCAACCGTTACCCCATACCAAAACCAGGGAAGGATTCAACCAAAAAAGAGAACTACAGGCCAATCTCTAATGAACATAGATGCAGAAATCCTCAATAAGATACTGGCAAATGGAGTGCAGCAAATCACCAAGATTATCCGGCATGACCAAGTAGGATTCATCCCAGGGATTCAGGAATGGTTCAACATATGCCGATCAATAAATGTAAAAAACAGAGACAAAGCTTTTGTACATAAAGTGGGCAGTGGGCTTGAGGGGGGAAAGGGATAAAACAAAACAAAATTTATTTAAAAAGAAAAAACCAAGCCACTGACTCACAAAAAAATACTAAAAAAAAAAAATGCAATTAACCTCAATTGTTCCTTAGAATTCATTCTTCAACTTTGGAGAACACGAACACAGCGTACCTGCCACCCAGCATGATAGGAGTTACGTCTATATCAGCATGTCCGTAATCTTGTGCACATTCTTGCACTTGAGCTATGTCAGTAAACAGACCAAGCGCTACTTTCGTGGAGTTCACATACTAAAGGGCAAGAGAAAGACACCGAATGTTATCAACAAGGGTGAGGCAGAGCAACTGCTGGGCTTTGACTCCAGGTGCAACAAAAACTGGCTGAAGCCATATAAGAAGCACTCTGCCTGCCGTGTGAAGGAAGGCTAGATCAGAAGGGAGACAGAAGCAGGGCCAACTAGGAGGCTTCGCAGGAACCCAACGGACAGAGATGTCAGTTTAAACCAGCGTGCTAGCAACAGGGGTGGTGAGAAGTGGTTCCATGCTGAATGCATTTTAAGATGGAACCGAGAGGATTTTCTGAAAATTGGTTGTTGGACTTGAGAAAAGGAGTAAGGATAACTCCAAAGTTTTTGTCTAAGCCTCTGGAAAGATGGAGCTACTAGCCACTGAAAAAGGGGAGGTTTCTTTATTTGTTTTTATTAAGGAAATCTGATGATTTTCTCCTGAGGGTCTTGCTCTTCCTTGGTTGGCTTGTTGGTTGCTTGGTACTGGGGAATGAACTCAGGACCTTGCACTTGCAAGGCAGGCAGGGTGCCACTGAGCTAAATCCCCAGCCCCTGAACTTCCTTTTTATATTTATTTCCAAGTAGTTTTTTTTTTTCTGATGTTAACATATTACACTAATGTAACATTGATCTTTTATATTTAGTAGTCATGATATAATATGCTTTCTTCTATTTTAGGTTGATCTTTTATGTAACAATCTCTCTCTCTCTCTCTCTCTCTCTCTCTCTCTCTCTCTCTCTCTCTCTCTCTC